GGGACGCCGCCCGCACGGCCGCCCTGCTCCCCGTTCCCGACTTCACAAGCGCCGGCGCCTTACACAGGTGTGGCGATGGCCCGGCGACACCCTCACATGTGTGGCGATGGCCCGGCACACTCGTCCCGCTCCGCCTCATGCCCACAGCGGGCAGGAGAAGCCTGGACAGTCAGACACGGGTTTGAAAAGTGGTGGGCAAAGGGCCTGACCACCTGATCGCCAGGCTGTCCCTGTGCATTCAGACCTTAACCAAGTGGTCACCATGCTAGCCAGGTACATTCCAAGGACCCAAGCGCCTGGCCACCACGCTGCCTGGAGAATAACAAAAAAAAGTGTATGGAATAAATTAAAGCACATGCTTCTCCAGGGCACGACCTCGGTTTTATCTACCTGTGTTGCATGTGCCAAGACGCGGCAGTGAGCTTCGTTCGAAAATAGCTTAACCATCCTGAGCTGTGTGACTTGCTCTACAGAGCCGACGACTTAGGTGAGCAACAGTGATGGGTGACACTGTGGCCCCTTCCACTGATTCTCAAAAGCATAAAATGTCTTAAAAAACGAAAGACTACATCAAAAATCTCATTTTTTTCCAAAATTTTTAAGAATCCACACATCGAATTGCGATTAAATTTTGTCTTATTTCTTAGCATAAACTTTTGTGTCCAAGAACTCTTAATCACTTCTGTATTTCTATTCTAATTTATAGTTTACAAATCAGTTTCAGACATTAATGTGCAGATTTGTGTATATCAATAAATACATCATATCATTTAATTCTTACAATAACCTTTTAAAGTTGGGGGTTTTTTTTCCATTTTACAGGTGAGAAACAAAATCAGAGAGGTTAGTCAGTGATAAAAACCAGTTAGTGGAATCGCCACAACCAGACTCCACATCTCTGGCTCCTCCTCAGTGGCACGTCACCTACACAACACAGGGACTTCTTAGGTGTCGCCTGGAGCTGAGGGAGCATGGACAGCGAGGGCAGCGAGCAGAGGGTCAAACAGACCCACCTGACTCACCGCTCTGCCACTCACTGCTGCTCTAGGTCGCTTGACATCTATGCCAACACGCACCCAGGGCTAGAGTTAAAATCCTCAATTATGTCTACGGCCACACCACCCTGAACAAGCTCAATGTCTGATCTCAGAAGCTAAGCAGGGTCGGACCTGGTCAGTACTTGGATGGGAGACCGCCTAGGAAGACCAGGTGCTGTAGGCGTAAAAAATAAAAAAAATAAAAAAAAATAAGGGATTGTAAGCTGACAAGGTCCTTGCAATCTGTGAGGTCAACCAAGGGTTGCCTCGCCTAAAAAAAATGAAAAAATAAAAAAATTCTCAATTGCTTTGGTCAAACCCCCCAGGGGTCAATTAAGTGCAGGAGCCCTGCCCCCACCGCTGCTCTCAAAACCCACCCGGGCCTGTTTCCCTTCCCCCTCCCCCCAGCTGAAATCCCTTCATCTCTTTTGTGTGTTAATATTTGAGCTAAATCAGAATTTAAAGTGTCTTTTCTCCTTCCAGCACCGACGCCATCAAGCCACTGAAATGCTGTGGTCACTTGTCATGACCTAACCTGGCTAATGCACAGCCTGGTGCCCTGGACCGAAACAGGAGCCCTGCGCTGGGCCCGCAGAAAGCTGCTTAGCAGCTGAGCGCTGCGAGGCGGAAGCAAATTCAGAAGCCTGATAGCTGGGGACGCACATGCTGCAGTGACGAAAATGAGTGACCGCTATCGGGGGCCGCGCCCACCGCACTGATCCCACCGCCCCAGCGGGGATGACTGGAAAGAACCGGTGTTTGCAGCCAACGCACAACACTGGCTAAAAAAAGGGCTGCCCGGTGTGCAAGCAGAAACCCGCGCCAGTAGGAAGTGGCCAGAAGCACGAGACTTCAGCGTGGAAACTTCTAGTCCTCTAGATGTGTGGTGGGGAACAAAGGGCCGTCCGGACGGCCTGGCAGAAGAGATGGGAGCAAGGACGGTGACCTCCCACGCCAGCCTTCCACATGACCTCAGGGTGTCAGCCTTTCCTTTTCAAGAAAGTCGAGAGAGCAGGCGCGCAAAAGAGAAAGTGAAAGGCTCGGAAAGCGGACCGGGCAGGGTCCCGGTGGCGGTGGCGGTGGCGGTGGCGGTGGCGTTGCCGGCACGCGGCGCGGATGGGATGCGCACACGGCGAAGCCCGCGGTGCCGCGCGCGCCTGGCGGCCACAGAAACGCGAGCGACTGATGGCGACGTGCGGGCTGCGCAGGACTGAGGCTCTGCGGGACGCCACCCCACAGCTGCCCGTGAACCGCCGCAGCGCCCGACGACAGCACCCGACGACAGCGCTCCCCCACCGCCTCGGACGGGGCCACCGAGGGGGATGACAGAGCCCAGGGCCAAGGACGAGGAGGGCCCCGGGCTGCAGGGTCAGGGTCTAGTCCGAAACTCTCCCCACGCCGACCCCGCCCAGATGTCAGAACTGCTATGGACCGGCTCCCCTCGTGAAAGGGAGATTCCGTTGCAATAACTCTGGTCACTTTAACCCACGTTTCAGGGGGGGAGCACGTAGCTCATCTTTTTTGTGCATCGATCACTGAACCATGAGTAAATACATCTGGGCCTGATGAAAAGGGCTCTGCCATGCTGGAGGCCGTGACCGGAAGTGTGCCTTGGGAAGGCGGGTTCAAGAGTGAAGCAGATGTCGGTGACCAGAAGGGAGGCGATGCCAGGTGCTGGCCTTGTTCACCAAGCCATTCCCTTTTCTTCTGGAAACGACATGACCCAGCTTCCCCTGCAGCTAAGTGCCCCCACGGGGCTGGCTTCTGGCCAGGGCAGCAGGGACAAGGGAGTATGTGGGCATAAGTCACGTGGGCCTCTTACAAACCTGGCCCACAAAACCCTCCCATGCGTGATCCTCTCTGCTCTCCCTCCACCCATAGGCTAAATGGAAAGGGTCTGAAGGGCCTAAAAAATGGAACCACAAGATGAAAGAGCTCCAAGCCTCAGCTTGGAGAAAGATACTTGAGCTGTGTCCGACTCAAGCAGAAACGCAGGGCCAAGTGACGTATTACTATCCTTTGGGCTTACTGGCTACAGCACTAGCCTACCCTCACTGATATAAATTGTTTAACTTTTTTATTTACAAAAGTGATGCACTTCAAAACATTTAAAGAATGCAGAAATAATTGTCAAACTTGCCCTCCCTGCCTCCCGTACTTGCTGTGCATGCCGCAGGGACAGCCACTGTAAGAGTCTGATAGGCAAACGAACAGGAACAGTTTGAGAGGACCCACTAACATTTTTAAAATGCGTTTCTAGTGTATCTAACGCTACATAAGCACGTCAAAAAAAAGTGACAAGTAGCTGCTGGAGAGACCATTGTTTTAAAGTTACATCAGAAAACACAAACAGATAGCAATCCCAGAAAAATGGAGGCTGTATATTCAAGACCCTTTTATTGATACAGAAGTAGTACATGTAAACTGTACAAAATTAGAAAATCTATACCAAAAAAATTATTCTCAACTTCTCAAGGTGCCCCGCCGAATAGAAAGAAAAAACAAATCAAATCTTTCTCTTTTAGTAGCTGAGCATGCCAGAAATGTGCTGTTTGGTCCTAAGTTAGAAAACATAATAAGGCTGTTGCATAGCATTTTGAATTCCCACAGTAAAATGGTAAATTACACCATAATTAAAATATTCTTGATGGTTTTCTTCGTAGCAAAAGAAAATATAAAGTTCTCTACATTGGCCAGAACAGGAGAGAGGTTCTGAACCTGAGGGTATAAAATAAAGTATAAAGCAATGGCCGATGCCAGAGGTGTGGGGCGGTACCAAAGTATACTCAGGCATTTCTATGTCTTTAAATCCTTTCCCAAATTATTACATATTTTAAAAGATAATACTACTCTTTATATTTTGCCACTTTAATATTTTTAAAACTCTATACCCTCTTTGTGTTGGCCAGGCTGAGGGAAGCCTAACTGTATAGACTTTCAGTTCCCAAAGCACGAATTTTGCACTTTTGTGCTACAGGACTCGTTAGGTGAGCCCAAACCACTGACTACTGATAACAATTATAAATGTTGAAGTTTTTAAACAATTTTTTTCAGTGATTTATACTATGTTATATCCACCCTTTTGTATTCCAGCCTGATATGCTTTCTTTATGGGGAAATAAAATGGATAGTTAGGAACAGCCCAGGTCCCGTGGGGGTATCACACATGTAACCAGACAGGCCTTGCGGGAGAAAGCGTCAAGACCCTTTAGTGTCATCTCCATCATTAGCCCAAAGACCAGTGTGTCACTAGCCACCCAAAGGCAGCCTCCCCCAACTTCAGGCAAAACGACCCAAAGAAAACAAGCAGCCTAAGACTGTCTCTCCACCTCTACACACACATAAATGAAAACGTGACAGCTCAGTGTTTAACCCAGCACATGCCAATCTCCGTCGACACCTGAGCAATCCACAAGTTGTGTAGCTACCGGCGGCGTTCAGACTCTATGGGAAGAGGCACAAGGGTCATGCCATGTTTGTATCATTTACACTCCACCTGTTCCCACAAAAGTGGCTCAGCAGGTTCTAACGCAAAACACAAGAATGGGAATCAACACTAAAGCGTGACCCTGAAATGAACATTTTTCTTAGGGGAATCCCGTTTAATAGCCAATGGGTGTCCCTTAACACCGAATTCTGAACTAACACAGTAAGTCCTGAAAAGAAACACAACTTCATTTTGAAGACGCTTTTAGCAGCGTCAAAAAGCACCATGTTCTTAAGAGGAACAGACAACAAGTAACAGGTACCAGGTGCCCGGACAACGGTCCATAGGCACCTGTCTCTCACCTGAAGGTCCGCGGGGTGGCCACTGAGTCAAGGTAAGCCCTCGGGAGCGTACGGCCGGCGCCCCGCCCCCTCCCCGTCGCCCTGGTTACGAGCCCGCCGCCGCTTACCGCCCCGCCTCATCGCCATTCTCGCGAGAACTCGGAGACCCACCGCTTCCGGCGGTCCCTCGCTTCCGGGCGCCGCCTCACTTCCGGCTCCTCCGGCGCGGGCGCCCGGCCTGGCCCCCAAGTCCCTGGCGCCGCGCCCTGCAGGGAGCGGTGGTGAGTCCTGGGGCGGGAGGCCGGCCCTGCCCCCCGGCTGTCGCCCGCTCGCGCCTTCCCCGCCCCGTGCCCGAACCCCGAGCCGCCCCTCGGTCCCTCCCCGCGCTCGCACCCTCCCCGGGCTGCCCCGGCCTCCCGCCCGGCTCCTCCGTTCTCTCCATGAAAGCTCCCTCCCTGCATGGCCTCCACCCCGGTCCCTGCCTCTCCGGCCCCCTCCCCTCCAGGGCGGGGGCGAGGGCAGCTGGGGGCGGGCCGCCGAGGTCGCCCAGGACCCGGCCGAAGTCTGAAGTCCCTGACTGGTGGCCTGGGTGCGTCCCGATGCGGCCGAGTTTAACTTGGCGTTTGTTGGTCCCAGGCGCGCTTAGTGTGTCCTGTCATTTCTCTGCAGAACATTCACAGATGAGGAAGTCACCGCACTAGGCGTCACCAGTCATGGCCGCTCCCTGGAAGAGCGCTCTTCTGATGCTTCTGGCATCGCAGGCTGTGTCCTGGGTGAATTCCTTCGACGAGGAAGAGGTCCCAGAAGAATGGATCCTTCTGCACGTTGTTCAGGGTCAGATAGGAGCTGGGAACTACAGCTATTTGAGGTTAAATCATGAGGGAAAGATAGTTCTTAAGATGCAGAGCTTAAAAGGCGACGCAGACCTGTACGTCTCTGACAGCACCCTCCATCCGAGTTTTGATGACTATGAACTGCAGTCTGCCACTTGTGGCCAGGACATTGTTTTTATACCAGCGCATTTCCAACGCCCTGTGGGAATAGGGGTCTATGGACATCCGTCTCACCACCAGAGCGAGTTTGAAATGAAAGTGTATTACGATAGAACTATCGAACAGTACCCATTTGGTGAGACTGCTTACTCAGACGGCACAGAATCGAGTCAGAAGCATGCCTACGCTCCAGAAGACGCATCTCAAGAAGAAGAATCCGTTCTTTGGACAATATTAATTAGTATTTTGAAACTGGTACTCGAAATTCTTTTTTGATTCTTTGAACATACGCAACTATACCGTTAACCTGACGTTGATTGCAGTTTGCTGCGAACTTAGCTACTTTCACTTGGCTGAAAATTCTAGTTAGTCTTTTCTAGTTGGCGGATGGAAAACTAAAGCCATACAGTTTTGTTACCTCAGTTACCCCAAAAGTA